AGGACCGATAAGTGTTGTACTCGGTCAATCGTTCAAGAATCATGCACATGTATAGTGTATGCGTACGTGTATGCTCTGTGTACTTTTGTTGTGTGTGTGTGTGTGTGTGTGTGTGTGTATGTGTGTGTGGCGCGCATGTGCGTGGTTTGTGCGTATGTGCGAGCGACATCACGAGTAGGCTTTAGCAACACGAAACGTCTGCCTCTTAAGCACCTTCAAACACCATGCGGCCTATCTTATGAGATACAGGCGATATATACATTCCTCCTACAATTATTAAGATCCATCCAGACTCGCGTTTGCGTCACGTATTGCATAACGATCGAGAGTAGTCACCGTTAAATATCTGTCTCTGTAAAAACGCCGAGAATTTCAAGGGTGATGAGGTGATGTGCGCTCATATGATGGATCTAATACGGTCCGCTGGGGCCCGGATGTGGTGCCCCGTAACTGTCGATGGGTTGCCCCGGTTGTTGCCCCGGTGGACCGTATTCGCCGCCGCCTTGCTCCTTCTGTAATGCGTAAGAAAAAATGTAAGGAACAAGACGAAAGAGTGAGAGACAGAGAGAGAGAGAGACGCAACATGCGGCGCATATACGAATTTATATATAACGACTCGTCGCGCGGCCGTGACCTTTTCTGTGATGGCAATTAGCAGAACTAGTCTTCGCATAATTTAAATCTGCCGATATATTGGTAGTTTAGCTAGCGTGACAAGTGATTTAAAGGTAACTCGTAGGGCCACTCTGGAAAACTTTGAAGGGATTTTCAGCGGTTAATTGAAAGCTATACGAAAGCTACATTCCTCGATCGGCAAGCGGACGAGTCCCGATTCGATATTTGTAGTTTACTAAGGAGAGCGCAACGTGTATAGCGAAAGATATCTTTTGTAACGAAGAGTTATAGCGATGTAGCGTGTACAATTAATCCCTGCAACCGACGCATTGTTGTAGAAATCTCGAGCTCGCTCAAATCGGCGGCATTATGATCGACATTTGAGGAGAAACTTTCCATAATTATTTAAATCGCCAACATGGCAATCACCTTGGACAGTTTCTTCTTTTTTTCGTTTTTTTATAATCGAGTGAAGGCATGATTTGCGTTCGATTAACAGTAAGCTGGTATATTCGTTTGAAATATATGACGTGCAAATATTACCTATGATACATCCAATATCCGGATTCCTTCATATTTCATGCAAAAAAAATGTGTCACTCTGCTCGCGCGATTATCGAAATGAGCAATTTACATGCCGCGAGCGCGAGGCGTCACACTTTCCTTTTTCGACATATCGACACACTCGCCATTTAATCAAAATTATTGCTCGATAGACCGCTTTGAAAGCGGCGGCTGTCCGTTATATACGCGCGTTTGAGCAACATTGCGTTTTTGAGCAACTGAAAATTGGGCAACGGTATTACATTTAGATCCGATGATAGGAACGTCGTGAGTTATCCTCGCCGTGGAATTCGCGAATGCTCAAGCGATCGCGTTAGAGAAAAAAGAACACCTGCATAAATCACCGTTGTTAAAAAGAAAAAAAGAAGAAAAATATCGTTACCTGAGTTTTGTAGCGAATGAAGTAGACTTCCGGTTTGCTGGGCTGCGTCGGCGCCTGCGTCGGGAGCACGACATCGGGCGCCTCCTCCGGTTTCTTCACCAGGACGTAGATCAACGTCTTCTCCTCGTCCGGCTGTGGTAGCGGCGGTAACTGTGGTGCAGTCGGCGTAGGCGGAGTCGGCGCCTTGATGAACACTATCTTATAATGTTTCTGCGGAGGCTGCGGTTGCGGTATATGCTTGGGCGGCTTGTACTCCGGCGCTTCCGGCGGCGGCACGTGGACGTAAACGTGTTTGTGAATCACCGGATTCTGCTGCGGTGGTCCATAACGGTCTGGGGGTGGCCCGTAGCTGCCGCCGCCGCCGCCACCGCCACCACCACCACCACCCCCACCGGAGGGTGGAAAGTACGAGCTCACCGGAGGCTCCGGCGCCGGTTTCGCGAGTACCAGGGCGATCGACGAGCAGGCGATCGCGAAAATCGTGCTCTGTTAAAAGAGAAAAGAGACGTGATGACGTATCGTGACGTATAATATTTAATGTATACGAAGAGAATGTTGTAGCGAAAGTTACAATAAAGATTTTTCTATCTCGAAACACATCGACATTCGTAATGTTGTATAATGAAAATTATGATATTTTTATTCAAAAGCTTCAAACATGTTTTACATTTTAAAAAAATTCTTTTGAATATTTTAGAATTAATTTTACAATTTATTATCTTTATTTTATTATAATTTAAAATCAAATTTTATCGGAAAAACATGCTGGAATCTTATCAATTGAATGTAATTACTTTCGTTTTAAACTCTTTGTAAGGAAAATTAAGAAATTAAATTAATTTTTTTAGATAATATCAAGAAACTAATTATCACATAAACTTGTGTGTATATAAATTTTAATACGTATAAATATTATAACTTTTTATATTATAATGAATTATGTCTTTTACTAATAGTAAAAATATACATGCAATTGTTTTCGCTACAACAAATTTTTATAGTAAATATAAAATTATATTTTAACTTTAAAATGTAAAATTGATTGATATATCTTTTATGTAATTTATGCGCTACAATATTTTCTTCGTATAATTAATGATTTGTTGATAATTTATCATTGACGAGTGGCACCTATATATATATATATATATATATATATATATATATATATATATGTATATCACATTTGCGATAGAGTATATAACGAATTTATGAATTACGTCGTCCATAATGATTTGATATGAATAGATAAAATACGCGACAAGATATTGCTTAACCAATTTAAAGAGCTCATTTGCAATGGACATTTCCTTTTATCAATTTCTTACCGCTATCGATCGTATTATACGAATACAATGGCTCGTTTATTGCGTTCTTCTATACGATTTGACACGGTAATCATACACGATTATTCGCGTATTTATCTTCGGTAAAAGGATAAATACATAATAACGCGATGCAGTCTTAGATTTCTCATGTCAAATCGTCAATTCGTTATTTCGTTATCGACTTTCAAAAAGATTGGTGTATTACATTCTTTATTTCTTCATGATTGAATTTCAATGAATAGGGTCAAAGTACGTTTCACGTTTCATTTAAGATCCGATTAAAACTCTATATAGCTTATAATGCTTTATAAACTTTCAAGTGGTTTGTAAATTTCAATATCTAACGAGGCGAGAATTGTTCATACAATGGGATGTTTGACTAGGAAATAATATGTAACGCATATTTGTAATTCAAATTTTGAATCTAACGAGTGAAAGAGTACATTTAGTTATTTTAAAATTGAAATTAGAGACATTCCAGACGCGAAATGAGAAACGTGTTATTTTTATATAGGCAATTGATGAGTTTTATCTCTTTCATCGGCGAGTCAATTACGCGTCTGAGAAATGCGATTTAAATTCTATCGCAGCCGCATAAATTGGGAGAGTCCGTCAATCACGCCAATTATAGTCTCTTAACCGAAAGTCAATCTACCATATCCGGCGGACCTTCGAATTCTCATTTCTATCTTTTCCGTGAGAGAGTCCATTAATTCCGAACAGCATTTCCCATTCCCGTAGAACGGGCATGTCCCATTAGCGTGAACGGAAGAAGACGCGCGGCGTGCGATGTGCGCGATAACTCACTTCGCTCGAATGAAGCTTCCTACTCACTTAACGACCCCCCCGATCATTTAATGCTTTTAGTGCCGCATCGAGACTCCGCTCCGCGTGCCAGAGCGGCTGGAGCCGCTTTCCCCATTTTCCTTCGCTATAATTATCGAGACCGTGTCGGTGAATAGAGCGGGAGCATAGGCGGGATCCTTTTACTTTTGCTCGCGCCGCGACGGTTTAATCCGCGGGAGATCCGTGCCGATGCACCTCGAGCGTGGGCACAGTGGGATGCACACGCTCGCCGGATTTTTTTCTCTCTCCTCTCCTCCGGGAAAACGCGACCGTTCGCTTTCCATCGTCTGAAAAGGAAACTGAGACGGCCGTTGGAGCCGATGACGTAAACGCGCGGGCTCTCCACGACGATGGAGCAAGTTCGTGTGTTATTCGAGAAATATTTCGCGTGCCGAGTAACGAGACTCTCGCTCAAATTCCCTCACGTACGAATCGTTCATCTCTCGTGTGTTATATCCCGTCGACGTGATGAAAATGCGAAGGAACGAGGGGAGCGGGATGATCGAGCTGGATGTCTCCAGCGATTGCGTAAGAAACCGAAAGTTACTCTCATTAAATGCACCTGGTCACTCGATCACTCGACTTATGTGTTTATCTGGTAACAGGATTGCGTCAATCGACGTTTAAATTTAATAACCGGTCTTGCTTCAAGACTCTCTTGAATGGTGCGGACGAGACCCCGAGCGTTTTTTTGCTCGAATCTCGGAGATCGCGCGCCTCGAGGAGAGTCTCGTATGATTCAGAAAAATTACACCCGTCGTCGCAAATATATATTAATCATCGAAGTAAAACGCTTTCCCGACACGGACACGACGAATGTTCGTAAACGAAACGGCGTGACGCTTCAACATTTTCAGCATCTCCTGCGTCGTAAACGGGAGATTTTCTCGAAAGCGACAATTTAATTAAGATATATATTCCCACTCATGTCTGCCAAGTCTGCGGTTATCTCGCATTCCATTCCAAACTGCGAAACGCGAGAGATGCGAAAGATAAAATGAAAAAATATGCGCACTAATTATACTAAAAAAAAAAAAAAAAAAAAAAAAAAAAACAAAAAAACAAAAAAAGAATTCTCGCGCCTCGTTTTTGAACGGAGGAAATCGATAATCAAACTCGATGATTAACCGCGTTCGTTTACGCGCTCGCTACTTACCGCGGTGGTCTTCCGCATTTTTCTTCCACGTATGTGCGTGCCGGGGGCTCAAGGTAAGATACTCCCGAAATGTGAGGCACGTAGAAAAAGAGGAATGTCGAGCGGGCGGCGTTTCACTTTGCGGGCTTTCACGCGTGTGGCGTGCGGTCGAGGCTCTTCCGAACTTTTATAGAGGCCATCGAGGGGATACCCGCGGAAAAGGAAGGCACAGGAAGGTGGTCGGTATTCGTGGTCGTCCCGTCGTCGTTACGCGGCCTCCTCAAGGGGGTTTCTTCTTTCGTTGTCATCGCTCGCCGCCGCCGCCTCCTCTTCGGTCGCCGCAGTTCGATCCGCGCGGACCAAAGGTGCGCGACACAGCTAGAAAATGAAAGTACTCCTGAAATGAAGATTCATCGTCCCGCGGAACGATTTATCGGCCATCTAGCTGACGTTGCTGTGTGGCCGAGATTTTTCCTTCCGTATTTGTCGTCAGAACGAAAGCATTCATTTTCTCGCGTATCGATGATAATCCAATCGACGCGCCGATGTACGTATAGATACGTTCTCCGACGGAAACTAAGGAAGCAGTTATATTAAATTATTAAGCCGAATCAAATTTTGCTTAAATTATTTAATTTAATATTCTGTTATTTATTACAATAATTGAATATTAAATATTTTTATTTTGTTTGCTTGCAATTGATTGGGTGAAATGCAAATATATTTTTCAGTAGAAGAGATATTTTTTCTGTTTAATACAATTACGCTTAATTAATTACATGGATTGATGATCCATAGATAAATAAATAAAATATATGAAACAGACAATAAATTCAAAGCATTATACAATCGGGCATAATTTTAGGCGCCGAATACTTTTCTTCATTTTTGAATTTATTAAATAAATTCGAAAAATCTAACTACTTGACTTTTGTTGCTGACTACATGCCATTTATTTACATTGAAAAACCATAACAAGCCAAAAGCCATATTTTACGTCTCAATAATTCATTTCAACAATAAATAATAAATCTCTTTGAGAAGTTTTTGTTGCGAAAAATATTACTTCAGCCAGAAATCGAGCCTGAGTCATTCGTTAAAATATATGAAATTTATAAGCGATTCTATTTCTTGATTTTTGCTAATAAGTTTGTAGAAATCAAATGTTGCAGCAAACCACTCAAATGAAAAGACGATTAGACTAAAGGATATAATGAGTGGAGAGTACGTGGGAGAAACGAATTAAAACGTGAATGTTCACGAATAATAAAAACTGTCTCATCTGTGGTACTCCGAAGTAATTTTCACTTTCTTCGTACCGCCGGTACGGTTACCGCACGGTGTGCATTACGTAAAATGTGCAAAAAGATATTTCTGGACAGCGCCACCCGGCTTGTTAATAAAACATTATACTTTACTATATATATTAGACACGTATCCGCTTATTTAAATGTCGGATTAACTTGCGGAGGCGCCTAAAACGCTGTAGACGTGAGTTATTCATTGCGTTAACGTAATCGGAGGAATGCCGCGAAACCGCTCTTGACATAACTATCTACTCGATCGATGGTACCAATGAATTATTCATTATTTACTATACGAGGACTCGGCGGTAAGAGTAAAGCGCGATAGCGTGTAAAAAGAGGAATCCGCTACTGTGTGTAAACCAGCTTCGTTATCCACATCGGGGACCGTCACCGTCGCCGGACACCGGACGCGATCGGTCGGTTACCCAATGTTACTTTCTTCCGCGAGTACAACTTTGTTGCCGTGCGATTATCTATCATGCTCATTTAAACGCCAAGAGAGAAAGAGCGCGAGAGGGCGGGGGGGGGAGGGAGAGGAGGGAAGCAAAAGAGAACTAGGGAACAGCGAATCTGTTTCTGCGGATAGGTAGGTGGTCGTCCGTCGTTGTGTTACGCGACCGTATATGCTGCCGGGATATGACCGGCATTCGTAACGTCCTCTTGAAAACCTTTGATATGCGCTGCGCGCAGCGCGACGGAGCATTTCACTCTGATTTCATCCACGGGTGCTCGACCCGCGGAGTTATTTATCGGGCGGTCGTGCCCGCGCGCTCGTGCGCGTCCTTTCGAGGTGGGCTCGATGAGAAAGGACACGAATTATCGATCGATGGCGATCGTACGCGTATCCTATGTGGGTCAGTGGCTCCCACGCTGCTGAAGGACGTTAATTTCGGACTAGATATGACGAGAGCTGAATATAAATTTACGAGAGATTTACGTTTTTGCAACAGTATAATAAAATGTTATAGCGCTCCTCTCGATAATATTCTTCCTTGGTCTGAAGAGTACATGTGGCAAGAATGCTGAAGTATTTAAAAATTTAATCAGATACAGATCTGAGAATAATAATTTTGTTTGTTTGGACTATCAAAATAATTTAGCAGGATGTTTAAATAATAATAATATTAAGTAATAATTATAATGTAAAAATTTTTAGTATTTGACAATCAGTCTAAACGTTCTACATAAATATCTTGATCACAATTATTTTTAAATCTGTATGATCAAATTTTTAGAGACTTTAGTAAAACTGTTTTTTCCGTGTATAAATTTAATGTATATTTTATCCTTATGAATATCACGATTGATCGATTTATGTAATTTTTATTATTATGTAGCATTTTATAATTATTAATATTTTAAAACGATTTTTAAATTATAAATGACAGAGAAAGATTTAAATTCGAGACACGGCTTCAAGCGAGCGAAAGAGGCGTCGAGGGAATACTTTCTTACGTCCAACATATATATAGACGAACATGTTGGAATTACGTTCGCGTCTTTCCTTACTATTGTTTTTTGCGAAAGGAGATGAGTGTACCGTCGTAGAAAAGCGCCGCGAGATGATCCAATTTCGTGCGAAGAAAGAAGTAGAAAAGTGCGTTCACGCCTCGGTAATTCGGGTTCATTTTCCTCTCCGTTGTTATCGTCGCGATCGCGTTACTCAGAGCGGGCACAACGGAGCATGGAAGAAGAGGAATCTGTGACGGTATCAGGGCGCAGGTATCGGAGCGAGTCGAGTCTATAAATCACGAAATGTTCATCGAGTGAACGTATACCCGATGTGTAATATTACATATACGCAATATGACGCAGCGCGCGCTCTCTTAATGCCTGTATCGTTGATTACCACACGTCTGAGGGTATTTTGCTCGCGAACGAGATTGCTCTCCCGTCTATAACAATCAATTATTTTCCCCCGTTCCCAAACCCGATCGCAATGATGGCTTATAAACAATTAGACGATGACATAATCGGCGATCGGTTCACCGGTAAATTCCCCCAAAGCGATTGCTCAACATTTACTCTTCGCGGAAAATCAATCCGCGTCTAAACAAAGTGCGCGAAAGCAGCTATAGATAACACAAATTACATATTTGCGAATGATTGATTATACATATACTATGTAAATATGTGTAGCCCGTCGCAGAGGAGCGTGTGGGCGATTTGTTTCCGTGTGTTTCGTCGCCTTACAAAATTTTTTTTGTACCGTTTGAAAGATCATTACACACTCATGATATTACCTAACTCTCTTACCCAATATAATATTTAATCCAACTGCTTGGCAGCGTTTCTCCATACTTTCCACTAAATTTTCTGCTCGCGATAGAATAATATCGAAAGTTTTAGTTCGAAAGCTTAAGTTATTTCGACGATAAATAACACTACCTGCGAGACTGCTTCGTGATATGCGCGCACGTTTACTCGGAATCTTCATCCCGACGAGAGCTGAAACATTTTCTGCTGGAGATTGGCCGACCGGGATGTACCTAATATATCAAAGTGATTCTCTACTTTCCAAGCCACGCAGCGAACGACCACGGTACTCCTTTTAGATTATTGTATTATTTTATTGCATTATCTTTATCAATCCAAAAATGCTATCTACTAACAATCATATACATAGTAAATTTCGAGACGACAGTATAATTGCCTACCTGCGTGAGATGACAATTTGTATAAATTATAGATATAACGGAAATTTTAATTATCAAATTGTATAGTTTTCGCACGAAAATTATGTGATTAACAGCCGTCGTCGAGGAGACGACGAGTTTCACCGATAGAAATAAGACAGATCGTCGTCGGATAATTGGGATTTTAATTTCAGACAATTCGTTCGGATTCGTCCCTCCTGCGGGGTTGAATTTCAAGTTCGTCTTGGATACTCTCACTCGCATTCTCGGAGATATAATGGGATCGTAATAAGACTTACATTTTTTAGCCCGTCCACCTAAGATCGTAGTAGCCATCTTAGATCTTTCTCTTGCACCTTATACGGCGAAATAAATTATCTTCTTCACACGCGACCATTTATTTCTGGCGATACGGTTTAATAAAATAGTCCGCGTACAACATCTGTCATAAATTACAAATTGATTTACCCTAATATGTGTAAGCAAAAAAAATTTGCACGATTTTTCTCTTTTATTAACGTCGTAGTCCGATTATAATTAAAAAATGCAGGATTAAGAACTGCCTTAACATTAAAAGTATCATATTAGAATTTTTTGACTTTTTTTGATGGAATATTAAATCTCTTTCTCTCTCTCTCTCTCTCTCTTTGTTTCTCGATATTAGAAAAAAAATATAAAATTTATAAAAAATCCATTTAAAATTAAAATTCATAAAATTCATTCATTGAATATTTCTCTTTTTATAAATGTATATTTTTCTGATATCGAGAAATAAAGAGAGAGAGAGAGAGAGAGAGAGAGAAGAGAGAGAGAGAGAGAGA